GGGTCTCCATTTGACTTTTTCCCTCATTTGGTTCAGCACTCAGGCAGGGAAAACACAGCCGTCATCGATTGTACCCCCTTTACCCCCAGCACAAGATGCTATAGGAGGGAGTTCCTGGGGCCAATAGCCTGGTATTGAATAGGTGAGGAGAGGGAGCAGAATTAGTGAGGTGAAGATACTGGAGAAGCAAGTTCCCAGAAAAAAGATAGCTTTTGCAAAGGCCCCGAGGCAGGAAAGAACTTGGCAGATTTAAGAAGCTCATTTACTGTAATTACAGAGGTTGAGGCAACAGGAGAAATGGCTTAGAAAACTGCAAAGGTGGAGGGTCCTAGAGCCAAGTTAAAAACTTTATCTTGAGGGTACCGAGAAGCCATGGAAAAGTTTTAATGACATTTCCCTGCCTCTTGTATCTCAACCCATTATTTACGTGGATAGGCCTTCTTATCAATTAGTACAGAGATGCTGTACAGACAAGAGTAGTATCCTTTCAGACTGAAACACATGGGTAGCTTAGCAGAAACCATGCTTAGGAGCATCAAGTAGAAAAAGTTTGAGTTCAAGAGTCACAACGCATGAGGGTCTGTATGGTGTTGAACCATTTCTTAACCTCTCCAAGCCACTTTCCTTTTCTGTACAGTTGGTAATGTAATGTTTAAATCCTTCATCAGGTTTTGTAGGATCAGAAATAGTAAGTATAACGCCTACGACTGGCATTCCATAGGTGGTAGTTGTCACTATTTTAGCAATGCTCTCTTGCTAACACAGGTTTCAAACTCTCTTGGGGAATGGAATCACAAAATAATACATCGTCAAATTGTGAAGAAACCTTAAAGATCTGTCTGTATATGATGCTTGCATTCCTTCTGCAACAATGACAATTAGTTGGTTTGTTCTCCAGCATTACTTATAACATCCAGAGACAGGAAGCTCACTACTTTCTGAAGCAGTCACTGCATATTTGGCTCTATTAGAAGGTTCTTTTTGTGGACTGAATCCAAATCTGCTTCCCTATGACTTCTATCCAGGGGTCTCGGTAGTACCCCTAATGCCTCTTCCATGTGACAGTCCTCCAGGTATTTAAGGCCATTATGTCCCACTACCACTCACCTAGAGTTGAAAAGCTTGTTTCTTCAGCCTAAGAACAACAATAAAAGGGTCAATTCATCAAGAAAATACAACAGTCTAAAACATATGTGTACCTGACAATAAAAACATAAAGAATGTTAGTGGAAGATGTTAATAATAGTAGCAGTAGTAGTAACTATCATTTACTGAGCCCCACTACACTTGATACTACAGACACACAGATGAGTGAGTCTCAATCCGTCCTGTTAACTGAAGAAAGTTAGAAAAGTAAATAAGTGTAACACAACATTACAGATACTGTGACAGAGGTCTGTGCAGTAAAAAAGTGGGGTGGGGCACCAAGGGAATAGTTATCTTTATGAAAGAGGGGTCTGCCTCTTATAAGAGGTAATATAAACTACACCCTCTCAACTGAGTAGGCAGTACTTACACTCAACTGGACTTATCCATTTGTGGTATTTGTTAAAACATCATTTTAGAGGTTTTAGTCACACAAAGTATTCAAAACAGCCACTGTTAGTGACTGCAAACGCATTCCTACAGAGATGTTAATTCTCCCTGTTAACATTCTTTACAAAGATTCTTGGGTTAGGGGCTTCCCTGGTGGCTCAGTGTTTGAGAGTCCGCCTGCGGATGCAGGGGACACGGGTTCGTGCCCCGGTCCGGGAAGATCCCACATGCCGCGGAGCGGCTGGGCCCGTGAGCCATGGCCGCTGAGCCTGCGCGTCCGGAGCCTGTGCTCCGCAATGGGAGAGGCCACGACAGTGAGAGGCCCTCGTACCGCAAAAAAAAAAAAAAGACTCTTGGGTTAGAGTCAGAATAATGGAAGCCAGGCAAGGAAGAAGAGTGGAATACTGTGATTTGTTGTACCTGTAAATGGATGGCAGATATTTGAAAAGGAGGAGCCTCAACTAGTCTTTCATAAGCACTGAAATAGAAAAGATGAGGCATACTGTGTTTGTTGTGGCCATACAGTATTGGAAGGCCACAGAAGATGGAGAGGAGTAAAGCACTTCAGTGCTTGTTTCTTTATATGGGGCCCTGTGCTGGATGCCAGGGTAAAGATGACCCAACTAAGAGGCTGAGGCATGGGCACAAGGTGATCGAATGCAGATAGAGGTGGGGAACCTTAGAAAAGGATTATTTGATGTGGCCTGGAAATTCTGAGGATAGATCCTTGGACAGATGAAGTTAGCCTTCCTAAAGGAGGCAGCATGCCCAAGAATAAATACAACAGTGAAGTCCTCCCAGCCTCCTAATGTGGACCTTCTTCGTGTGAGCCTTAGAGAGCAAAAGGCAGTGAAACTTGAGCTGCCTTCTTGAAGAAGAAACACATGAGAGGCAGAAACACGAGAGTAAACTATCAGTGGAGACTAAAACTAGTACTTTTCAAGTTTGTTAAAGAAGAATCCCTTCCAGAAACAGTTATAAAACTAAGGATCTTGAAATGTTCCCCAAAACAAACAAATAATGAGGAAGTGTAGAAAAGTTCATTTCACAATGTGCAAGTCTTCCACCTTCAGAAGTCATCAAGGAGGATAAAGCAAGTGTCGTTAGAAGCAAAAAGTACGGAGACAAGTGAGGAAACAGGAGTGTTAAGCAGAAGTTCAGAGACACTAGTCCCATCCCCATTGCCCATCTGAGGGGATTGAAGTCCAGAGAGGATCTCCAACTCCTAAGACACAAATAGGACTCCTTTCACCTAGCAGGGCACAGTGCTGCAACCCAATGATGGGTTTAGTACACACGCCTCATTCAGCCGTTTCTCAACTGACTTGACAAAACACAGGAACTTATTCCCAGAAAACTCTTCATTTCACCATGATACTTCATCGAGGGATTGTCTCCTCTGCTGGGGCCCTGGCACAAAGTAATCAAGGCCTCTCTTCTGCCCCTCATTTGCTGAGCTGCCTTTTTTTGTTGTCGTTTCTTTATTTTGGGGGGCAGGGGGGCCACACCCCATAGCATGAGGAACTTCCCTGACCAGGGATCGAACTGATGGCGCCTGCATTGGAAGTGTGGAGTCTTAACCACTGGACCACCAGGGAGGTCCACTGAGCTACCTTTTTTTAAAAAAAGTAGTTCCCTTCAGGCATAATTATTAAGACATTATCCACATACCATAAATTTCACCCTTTTAAAGTATACAAAGCTATGATTGTTAGTATATTCACAAGGTTGTGCAAATATCACCACTAATGCCAGATCATTTTCATTTCTCCTGTAAGGAGACTTGGTCCTCATTAGTAGATACTCCCAATTGTCCCTCCCCTAAACCCCTAGCAACCACTAATCTACTTTCTGTCGTTATGGATTTACATTTTTTGGACATTTCATATAAATGGAATCATACAGTATGTGGTGTTACGTGTCTGGCTTCTTTCACTTCACGTAATGTCTTTATGGTCCATTCATGTTGTAGCACGCCTCAGTACTTCATTCCCTTTTATGGCCAAATAATATGTTATCATAGATAGACTGCATTTTATTTATCCATTCATCAGTTGATGGGCTTTGGGTTTTTCCATCTTTTGGCTGTTGTGAATAGCAATACTATGAACATTCATTTCAAGTTTTTGTGTGGACGTATGCTTTTTGTGTGTGTGCGTGGACAGTTGCACCTAGGAGTGCAACTGCTTGGTCATATGGTAACTCTAAGTTTTAACTTTTTGAGGAATTGCCAGACTATTTTTCGAAGGGCTACACATTTTACATTCCCATCAGCATTGTATGAGGGATCCAATTTTGCCACATCCTCACTAACACTCATCATTTTTTATTATAGCCATTCTAGTAGGTGTATAATATTACCTCATTGTGTTACTGATTTTCATTTCCCTAATGACAAATGATGCTGAGCATCTTTTCATGTGTGTGTTGACCTTTGTATATCTTCTTTGGAAAAATCTCTATTCAAATTCTTTTCCCATTTTTTAATTGGGTTGTCTTTTTATTGTTGAGTTGTAAAAAATCCTTTATATATTCTGATTACCAGACCCTTATCAGATATATGTTTGCAAATATTTTCTTTCATTCTGTGGGTTTATGTTTCTTGAAGTGTCCTTTGAAGCATTGCTGAGCTACTTTTAACAAATATTAAAACATCTTAAACCAAATTAGGAATATGTAATTGGTGTCTGAATTATACTTTTAAATTTAATAAATAAGCATTATAATTTTATGAGCAAACCATAGTATGCAGACCCCATTTTGGGGCTTCCAAACTGAGTCTTGGGTTCACTATGGGATCCATCATAATGATAGTTACTGCTTTTTATAGCATTTAGGTGCCACGTGCTGTTTGGGCACTTTGCAAGTATTAAAGTTATCTAATTCTCACCACAGTCCTATGAGGGAGAAACTTATTACTTTACTCATTGTACAGATGAGAAAACGGAGGCAGAGGGAGGTTAAGTAATTTGCCTGAAGCCAAAGAATGAGTAAGTAACAGAGATGGGCTCCAGATTCCGTACCTCTTAACCATCTGCCACGGAGAAGGCGGAATGAAACCATTTCAAAGAATGCCTAACTCCTCGCTTTGGGGAAATAATGGTGTTTTCATGGCGTCTACACTCTGAACAGTTTTCCTCTCTGTACCAAGCCAGGAACTAGTGCCACCCTTCCAGGCGTCTTCATTACTCCCTCCCTTCCCAGTCTAGCTTCAGGATCTTCTCTCCTGTCCACCGGTCCGATACTTCAGTGTTTGGAAGTAACAGCAAAGTTGCCCGCGTTCCCCAGGTGGAGTGGTTCTAAATTTCTGGCAGCCAGGACTGCCACTGTGGGAACAGAGGAGCAGCGGATTCAGCCCAAAGAGGCTCAAGGCTGAGCCATGGGAGGGGCCAGCGAAGGGGGCGGGAACTGAACCCCGGAGGACTTGACCACAGTGTGCGGCGCCGGCTGCTCAGAGCGGAGCCATGAGCTGGACCTGCCCACGTTGCCAGCAACCCGTTTTCTTTGGTGAGGCCTGGGCGGAGGAAGGGGAGAAGACGGGGCGAGTGAGAGCCTTTGGGCTCCATGAGGACGCAAGGAGCTGGCCACTGTGTGGTCCCAGCCCCCTTTTCCACCTATGGGGTGCACAGCACTCGGGCGGGATGGAACTGGCCTCCCGGAGACACTCCCCATCGTCTCTAGGAATCACGGTGGGGGGGGGAACAGGGGGGAAAGGAGGGCGCCTTGTGCTTGGCCTGGCTCTGCCCAGTTGCACCTTGTCCCCCACAGCAGAGAAGGTGAGCTCCCTGGGCAAGAACTGGCACCCATTCTGTCTGAAATGTGAGCACTGCCACAGCGTCCTGTCCCCAGGAGGGCATGCAGAGGTGAGGCCGGGCTAGGGTGCACAGCCTTGTGTCTGTCACTGTCGCCGAGTCACCAGCCCCCGGCTTCAGCCCCATTGGCCCACCAAAGGCAACCTCAGCAGCCAACTCCCAAGATCACCTACCCAATAGGCACCACACCAGCCAGCATGTGGGGAGCCTGAATTGTGCTGGTGGATCCCATGCCTTTCGTCAGGTGGGGGAGGGAAGCAGCACTGCTTCCTGACCTGC